GTTTTGTTTGGTTTTGTTTTGTTTTGTTTTGTTACATTTCATCTCAGTATAGTATGAGGCATAAAAAGAAAAGAAGCTGTAGAAAAAGAAGGCTCCTAAGGGATATGACTGTAGCCAAACAACCCGCAGATGCTGGAATAAGAACCACATCGAACCCAGAAAACTCACAAGTTTGTCAAGTCCTTCACAAAATCTCAGAGAGAGAGAGACTTCCCATGTTTCAAAAAAGGTCTGAGATGTGGCGTGTTGTACATCAAAACCTTTGTTCTTAGGAAAAAAGAAGAGAAGAAATGGAGGTATGAGCTCATCGGGATGGTTTATTCAGAACAAACCTGAGAGGCACCACTTGGGCACTAGACACCAGGCTGGCTGCTCTTTGTAGGATCGTGGGGAAGGGGGAGTTTAGTGAAAGGGGGCTATGGCTACCTGCCAAGAACAAGGCTTGACAGAGTGAAGATAGCAATGTATGCCCAAGGTCCTGTGAAGGCTTGGGAAAGCGCAGGGAGTGGTGGCTGCTATCTATAGTAGGGCTGATAGTGCCATGAGTCCCCAGGGGCAGCTGTGCTGGGAGGGGGTGACTTAGAGGGGTCCCTGATCAGCAGGGTGGCAGCCAGAGTCCTTCAGTTATCAATGCTAAAAATATCTTGGGAACAAACATTATAACCTGAGGAGACTAAAAAAACAATTACGTATCGGAAGTCTTTCATTACTCTCTCCTTTTTCATTGAAATCGCTGATTCCTAACATGGATAATTATCATAAAGATCATAAAGTTGAATCTTCCTGTATGCTACAATAATCAAATGCTGCTTAAAATGGCAAATCACCAGTACATGAATATATATACATATATGTCTGTGTATATATATATATATATGTGTGTGTGTGTGTGTGTATGAGTTTTTTTAGCAGTTGCACAAACTAAACATCCTTCTGTTGAAATTATGCATGTAGTTTAATACTATTCAAGAGAAAATTAAGTGATATGCCATGAGACATTTTCCTCTTGAAATTGCACCATTAAAAAAACAGTGACATAGTATTTAGTATTTAGTAACCTGAAGTATTATACAAATCTACATATTAAAAATGAATAAAGCAGCTTGATTGCATCATTTAGAAGCATCAGCATATGAAAGTGTTTCCTATACACAATGAAGTGCTTGTGATTCAATGTGCCAGGTCCCAATAAAAATTATTGTATCTATAACATTTTAATGTAAGTCCATAAACTGTATGTGATGGCTGTGGGAAACCGTTTGGTCCAGGGCCTGTGGCACTTGGAGAAGATAAACACTGGTGGGAAGCGGGATGTAACCATCGATGTAATAGGCCCGTGGTACACATGAGTATGACCTTGGCTTTCTGTAAAAACAGAACAAACAAAAACCTCCAGGAAGCCCAGGACTGATTCTTGCTTTTAGAATTAGAACTTGTCACTCATTCACATGTTTTCAATGCCGTGTACTACTGTATTGATAAGTGGGTGACACCAGGTCAGCCTGGTGCCCTGCCCAATTCCGCACTGCATTTATAAGAAAATAATGTATCACTGACAAGGTGAATTAAACATGATGAAAACTACACTGCCAGCCTACCCTCACTTCTATATTTTTTTAATCGCAGTGGTTATTGTCACCTTATTAGAGTCTGAGAAAAGAACTACAAAGTAATTCTCACCTCCTTTCCTTCAGCTGCAGACTGGTCCTGGCCTTGTGAGTCTTTTTTGTTTCCCTTCTCAAAAGCCCAGCCTCATTCCAGTCATCTCTGACCCTGGATGCCAAGTTGTCACCTTGTTACAGTGGCCTTCTGGGAACATAGAAAACCGAGGTCCAAACAGAACATTGGGAGGAAACTCAAGCTCTACATCCACTTATCTCTGCTTCTAATTAATTTCTTCTTTTCCCATCACATTATCATGCAAATTGAACAATGAAGGCTAAGCATGCAAAGATATTTGTTGAAGGAAATGAAGTTTAATGCACTCCTTGACAAGCTTTAAATTCTGTATTATACTAGTTTTAAATTGGCTGCAAACAATCTCCCCTCCACAGCCTGCTCTCAGTCCAGGGGCTGCAGGGCCTCCCGCTGAGAAGCCCTGTCAGCATTTCTCTAGGAAGTCCTGAGCTTCCCAGATACGAGTCTTGCCTTCTCTCATCTACCAGGAAAATCACACTGTCCTCTGCCATGACAAGAAGTGAGAAGAATCTATCACGTGCTCCTGTATAAAATACATTGTTTATTTTTAAACAGACTCTTGAAATTGGGCAAGAAATGTGAAGGATGAGGGAGGAAAGAGAGAGGGGAAGAAGGGATTGAAAAGGATCAAGGGATGTGATAGGCATGTACAGACTGCCCCGAAGGAGCGTCACCCTTGTGCACTACACACGAGCTCTGATTTTTAAAAACATGACATTCTATATACGATTACCTTTGCCACACTGCTCTTTAATACTAGATAAACTTTCAGTGAAATGACTGCATTAATGTGTTACGAACAGGCACCAACTCCCCATGAAACATGTAATCCTTATACACTGCAAGCACGTACTAATAGAAATAAAAATCAAAGAAGAAAATCAAACAAAACCAAAACAAATAAACAAGCAAAGAAAGCGAGAACTTTGGAAAAGAAAATCTCAACAGAGAAGAAAGTAACATCATTACTTGGTGACTGTTGCACGCGACTCTTGTCTTCCTGATCGCTGCGCATGGCACTTGGGGACCTCCCTGCAGGGATCCCACTTCTCAGCCTTCCTGCAAGCTTCCTGGAAGACAGACTCTGGCTGGAATTTTCCTGACACACCAGCCCCTAATGAGCCACATGCTCCCCAGTCACCTGGAATTCCCTCCTCTCTCCTCTCTTCCTCCCAAACTCCTACCTTGATGCCTTGTAGCACATCCTTGGAATCTCTGTGTGTTTCACGACCTTAAGGAAGAAGTCCCTGACCTAGGCTGCCAGATAAGATTCTCTGAAACCTACATGCTGGTCGTACTGAACTCTAGTTGTCATCCTCAAAGGATTTTGGTGTCTGGTTTTTCATGTTTGTATTCACACAGCTGCCCTCCCACGTCTGCTGCTGTTTTCCTTTGGATTTCAGCCTTTGGTGGAGAAGCAAGAATTCTGTCTGGGAGAAGTGTTCCCAGAGGAGTCAGCACCCCAACTGGAAGTGTTTCCCTATGCAAGACCTGGTCCTACCTCTTGCCTGAACTTGCCCCTTATTAGGGTCCCATGTAGACCAGGAGCAATGAAAACAGTAAGAAGCTGCCTGAGAGCTTAAAGTGGAGAGAAGTCCTATGAGTTCCCCAAGGAACAAGTCTTGCTTAGTTTCACGTGGTGTGGCAGTGCTTCCGAAGTCCATGCCTAGCTAGAGAATCTAATGAGTTGAATGGGGCCTCCAAAATAAGTGTCTGTATTTCAACCCATGAAGTCTTCCAGTGTGACTTGATTGGAAAAGAAACCTTTCAGATGTAACTAAATTAAGCACCTTGTGATGAGATCATCCTGGATTATCTGGAAGCATCCTAAACCCACAGACAAATCTTATTAGAGCCCCACGAGAATGAGACACAGAGTGAAAGAGAAGAAGACCTGGTAAAGACGGAGTCAGGCATTGGTGTTACATGTAAAGAGGCCAGTGCCCCCTGGGACCACCCAAGACTGGGAGATGTAAGGAAAGATTCTCCCATGAAGTCTTCGGAGGGAGTGTGGACCTGCTGACAACAGGACTTTCTGCCTCCGGCCTCCAGAACTATGATAGAATAAGCATCTTGTTTTAAGCCACCAATTGTGTGCATTTTGCATCTGAGGTTCTGAAAAACTCACATAGAACATCTGGAGCTGAGGTGTTGGTTTCAAGCAGACCCCTCATCCAGTCCTTAAGAAACTCATTTCTGAGTTGGAAACTACTGGGAGTCTGATTTGGCTTTGAAGAAGTTTCATATCCCCCTCTAGGGTATCTAAAAACCATACAATGACAAGTTTTCTAAAAGACATCCCGTAAGGGAGGGAAGTCTTCTTTTTTTTTTTTTCTATCAAGGAAAGATATTTACCTTCTGTCTTTCTTTCCTTCCTTTCCTGCTTCCTTCCTTCCTATGGAGGAATTTATCCTTTCTTTCATCAAAGACTACAGAGTTTATGTATTTACTCAGGAGGGGATGTAGAGAATGAAGCCAGGGCCTTTTCACTACTCAAGATGTTGGCTGGAGCTGTGGGGACCTTGGTTGGCTGGGGCTGGAGTGTCTGCTTCCAGGATGAGTCACTGCTGGAAAGACCTCAGTTCCTTGCTGGGTGGGGGTGGGAAGCCACAGTCCATCACCACATGGGCCTCTTCCAGCATGGCACCTGGCTCCCAGCAGAGCAGGTGGTCCAAGAAAAAGCAAACTGAGGAACACAGTGTCTCTTATTGCTCACCTGCATTAGACACACCCAATGTTCCCTGTAACCTGCTGGTTACACAATTCAGCCATAAGTAGTGGGGGAGGGGACTGTACAAGGCCATGAACATCCCCAACCGGGAGGAATGCTGGGGCTGTCTTGGAAAGGAGCTCCGACATGGGAAATTTTAATGGCTGCAGGAATTTTGTCATGTAGATCTCAATAACTTATGCAAGTTTAGACTTTATTTCAATTATTTCATGATTATAAAGAATGCTCCAACAAGCACCTTTGCATATCAAGGTTTTCATCAACACTTTAGATTAATTTCTTAGACTATGGACTGAAAGATGGGATCATTAGATTAGAAATTTTTAGAATTTCTTCTTTGTATTGACTTCATAAAGCAAATTGATATTTTATAATGTTTGTTTCAGTTAACACATGCATTTCCTTTGGTGTATTTCTGACAAATACCTTAAAATGCTGTGATTCATAGCTACATGCTTATTTTTCACTTAATGAATTCTATGCACATTTTTAGGTAGATATTCTATTTGTATGTAATATTGGGTAATTATGGTATGTGGGTAGTTTTCATTTTTATTTAACCATTTTATAGATCCTCCTGAGTTTGTTTGTCGCTGTTATTTTGGACAACTTAGAACTTGATGAAGATCTAAAGAAGCTTAAACAAGTAAGTAATGTATGGAGAATTTTTTTAAATCTGCATTTAAAAAGTAAGACTAAAACATGCCTTTACAGTCATAGTGGAAGTCTGAGCTTTAAAGTAAAGAGTGAGTTAAAGTAGTCTAAGCTGGAAAAATGATGCTTACTTCTAAGTTTAACTTTTATGTCATATCAACAAGAGAGATTTGTCTGTTAACACATAGATAAATATCATAATTTTATATTATTATTTTTGAGTGAAAGTAGGATGAGCACAATATAATAAATTGGATACAGAGACAGTTCTCCTTATGCTATTAAATGAAGGTTGCTTGGAAATCATATGTCTCGGGGTCAGTTTGCCATTTTGCATAATAGTATATATTTTAGATCATCATCAAAAAATATTAAACATCCACCTGTCTGACCTCTAGACACTAAAAGAGAATTACTGAAAGTGATTATAAGAAATGAAATAGATTAAATGATTGGACATGTGCCCAATTAGGTATGAAAACAGACTGTGTATTATGGTTTGATTATACCCCAAACAAGTAAATGGAAATGTGTGATAATTATGTTGTTAATGGCAGACAGATGGAAGATATGGTCACCTATTCTCATAGCTTCTGTTACATAGAGGGTTATAGACTTGAATATTTGGCTCTATCCAAGAATGTACATAAATCCTATGAGACATAGATTTGGTGAAAGGGGAACATTGATTGGGATTTTCTTGGGTTATCTGTCCCTGTATCCAAGCAGAGGTGAGATGTTTACAAACAGATCCAGGGCCCTAAACTGTGCTATTGAAATCACATGAAACTTCTACATATTCAGAATTTTCAAAAGTGGTTGGTACCTTAGGCATTTCACCTTATTTTTATCTAACCCCAAATGAAAACCCAATAATGAAAAACCAGGACTTTAACTGGCATCTGTTTTTCACCCTGAACTAAAAAGTTCTAATGAATATTAGCTCTTCCGTTTAGTATCCATTATTAGCTATAAGATGGCTTGTTAGATATCAAAGAAGCTTTGTGGCTTACTTTCTCAACATGGAAACATAATACTGGCCACCCACATATCTAAAAAGGAAAGGTTTATTCCAGCTCAAAGACTGTAGAGGTTTCAGTCCATAATCTGGCTCCAAGATAAGGCAACATGGCAGAGGAGAAAGAGTTAACTGCATGGTGACAAAAGCAGAGAGAGGGATCAGGGAGGAGGGAGGGAAACAGACATTCTCAGCCATGTACTTGGGACCCACCTCCTCCAACCAGGATTTGCCTCCCAAGTCACATTCAGCTAGAAACTCATCAGTGGGCTAATCCACTGATGGGTATCATGACCTGTGATCCAACCATGTCTCCAAAGTGCTTTTGAAGAACTCAGGAGGCTTTGGGGTACATCTAGATACAAACCATGGCAAACTGTATTTCTAGAAATTATGTATATGAGAACTGACTATCCACTTGTGCTAGCCTACAATTTGGAATATTTTCTTTGACTACTAAAGATATTTCAGCAGTGAAAACTAATCTTAAATAAAGCAGCAATTTTACTTTCATCAGTACTTTTCACATTGTTCATTATTCATGATTGAACTGAAGCTACATATCTATTAAAATCTATTAATTTCATATCTGAAACTCATTGAATTTCATACTTGATATATTTTAATTCTAAGTGAAAATGTTCCTGGTTGCTTTTCTTCCATTTTTGCATAAGAATGTTTTATGTTTGCATGGTTTTAGCAATTGCTTCATTTTTTATGTATTGGTTTTCCTTATTTTCAGTGGTCTTGGCCTTTGAGATAGGATAATTTCAGGAATGCACATGGACCCATGCACATGTATACTTTCATACGTGTTTGTTGATGATACTGTGGATTCTTGAAATTTACAGTCTTCTACTGGAGCATCTTTTAAAGCTCCAAGAAAAATATTGTGTCAAATATTTATTCAGTTGCATGCCTAGAAGTCCAGCTCTTAAGATTTAAACTAATATATTCTGTTTTTCCCATGCTCTGATAATAAATAGAATAGAGAAAATGTGGGGAGTTTTTTTTTCTTTTATCTTCTTGAAAACCACTATATATTCCAAATTCTTTGTTTAGTTATTTTTATTTGTACTTTGCGGAATCTTAGAGATGGATTGAAAGTTCAAACTTTAAAACAAGTATCTTGGAGGTTGGGGATATAGCTCAGAGGCACAAGCACCTGCCTGGTGAATGCAAAGTCCTGAGTTCAATTCCTGGTTAAATAAATAAGTAAATCTTTTACCACTTCTGCCAACAAATCTGTAGGTTCTTATCATAATAGCAATGTTTGTTGAATGTTTTCTCAGTACCAAGTGCCCAATATTACCACTTAGTATTCATAACTGCTTTATACATGTATTATTATTATTATTATTATTATTATATCCATCTTACAGGTGAGGAAAACAAAGCACAAAGAGTTAAGTAACTTGTCCAAAGTCACACAGCCTACAAATGACAGTGCTAGGATGTGAGTTTAGGAAATTTGTACCAAAAGCCTTGACTCCTAAGCTCTGAACGATACTGAGTCCAGCTAAAGCTACAGAAATGCCAAACGTGAGCTACATAAGATGTACTCAGTGGAGGCTCATTCATGATCCATTGACATTTTTATAAATGATGATATTGTACATAGCAAAGCCATCAGTATATTCACCAAATTACTGCTAGAAGAGGCTCATTTCTTGAAGGAATGGAAGTAAATTAATCAGCAAAGCCATGAGAGCCATCCAGTGTAGTTATTCATCTCCTCAAAAGTTGTCAGAGCCTCCACATGGTGGCAAATGAATAGAGTGCAGTGGTGAAGGTGCAGCCAGGTGACCACGTCAGAGAACACCGCAGGACCAGAGGGCAAGCGCAGAAGGATGGAGAGTCTTTCGGTTAGAAGCCCAGTGAGGACAGCTACGCTCAGTGTGACTGATTGCAGGGGGCAGTTCCAGTTTTCTTGAGTAGACAAGCAGTGTGCTGGCACTTTTTGAGCTGTTCTCCTATAGGTCTCTGTGCTTTAGACCACACATCCAGCCAGGGACTGCTGCTCTCTAGAGATCCTGGGAGAAACTGTGGAGCCAGTCAGCATTTTCAACCCTTAAGGAAGCCTAAAGGGAATTGTGCCTCACCCAATACAAGACTAGGTGTCCTACAATGTCACATTTGACACTCTCAGCTGAAAAGCCACAGATTTTCAAAGTGGCAGTTCCATTTTTTAAATCAAAGCTCTAGAAGCCTTCATATGATGTGTGTTGAGAAATAGGATGAATATTTAACTTTTAATAATTTATGATAGTAAAAGTAACATTGTCATTAATCCCTCTCAGAAAGCTCCTCCTTGCTTCAAAGATGCTTATCCTAAGATTTTTGTCACTTTCAAAGCAGTTCTGGAAGCTGTCGTTCAGGAACATCTTTAGTTGTACTGTCCTGGCTGCCTCACATCCAGAATCAATTAAAAATGTTTACCTTCCTTGTTGTTTTGACTTTGAAGAATAACCAGAATTCACACAGTGCCATATCCAGTAGGTGCCACGGGTGACAACACTCTGTGATGTTTTTATGAGCCCGCCTTTGCTTCGGATGGCACCCACCAGCAGCGTTCACTAGGTTTTTAATCATGACTTATAAAGACACTCATACAACAGGGCTTCCAGAACGCCTTCAGCAAGTGCCCAGAGCGATGGGATGAGTGTGTCTGAAGTGGGATGGAGCATTTTTGAGGGGGATTAATGATAATATTTTTACTGTAATAATTTTTATTTCGTGTAAATATTCACCTTATTTTTATCACTCCTTGTGTATATCTTCTTTTAAGGAAGAAAAGCAATACTAGCGTTCATATTGCTTATTCAAAGAATTTTGGTGGTTTTTTTTTAAAGGACAATTTGGAGGAAAAAATAAAAGAGCTTCTTGGGAACAGATTTTGTGAGGTTGTCATGTAATGCCCATTCCCACTATCACTCTTTGAGATCTTCCCAGTGTGTCATTGTGTGGCTTTCCTTTGTCATTCCCCATGTTGAATACTGCTTAAAAATATCACCCAATCATACACTAACATAAAATTCTTCTATTACATTTCCTCTGTGTAGTTGCATTTAAGATACGATTTATTCTAGCAGCAATAGTGCAATAATATTCTTTTCATAGCTGCTGTAATTTACATGATCCTGTATCTAATTAGGTAGACAATATTTCTCTTTGCAGCATCCCCAAAGTCCATTACATGCCTTGGAAATAAACACAAGCTAACACTGCACACACATAGACACACACACACAGCAGTTTTCTACATGCGAGAAAAAAAATTGATTAGATGTTGTCTGTGATTGCGAGATTATGCTAAACTACTAAAAAAACAAATCAGTTGGTCTGGAAGCTAACAACAGCAACAATAAATCTTGGCCAAAATCTGCTCCCTGAACAGCAGTAAGAGCTGGTGACCTTGAAGCTCAGTAGTGTAGGAATAACACCAGGCAACGCGGGTAGAATTTTTACAAAGTTTGAAAATGAAGAGAATCCTTGCAACTTTAATGACTTTTGCAAATTCTGCTCTAAGAAGGCTAAAGGGTTTTCTTTTGAGCAGTATAAAATTCATTAAACTAAAAGAAAAACCCACAGAGTAGCCTCAGGGAAAGAATCGTTAAAAGGAGAAGTGTAGATAATCTGTGTAGATTACATTTAAAGCTATGAAATTAAAAACTGTTTTTCCAGCTCTGTCTCTCGTCTCTTGAATTCCAGTTCATGTGAGATGTTATTTCTTTGATGGTGCCCACTGCATAAGTGGTGGATGGATATGTAAGGAAACCTCTCTCTTTTACTCACTAGGTTTTTTTTTTTTCTAAACAAAAGCAACAGTTTCATAATCTTTTTTTAAAAAATATGAGCTCAGGATTAATATTTCTCTTCAGCCTTACCTGGTGTGATGGTTGTTGCTATGTGTCCGTTCAACAGGGCTAAGAGATGTCCACATAGCTGGTAAAACAATATTTTGGGGAGCATCT